AAGACAAACACTATATCTCTTCTAGAAGTCTTTTGTTATATGTATTTTTTTTGAATTCTACTATAGCTCTAGTTCTGTCTATAGAACTTCTTATTATTTCAATATACTCAATTCTTCCTATATGTCATACTATTTTAAAAATTTGAGATCTTTTTATTCTGTTAGATAAGTCCTATATAGTAATCTTATTTAAATTATTTTTGACTTCTTCAAAGCAAGTTTCTTGTCTTCTAATAGACACTTCATTACTTTTGCTTTTATAAATATTAGTATTTTTATTTTTGCTTCTGCATATATATATGTCTTCTAATTCTAATCTTGCTTGCTCTTCTAATTCTAGTCTTATTTGCTCTTCTTTTTTTCTTTTTCCTTCATGCATAGCATGATTCTCTTTTCTTTCTTCTTTGCATATTACTTTTGATTTTAATAGACTTATCTTCTCATCTGATTGCTCAAAGTTACTTTTACTCCTCTTAGTTTCTTTTCTATTTTGATTGTTAGTTTCTGTTATTCTTGAATAATTTGCTTCTAAACTCTTCTCTTCCTTTATTAATCTAAACTGTTTGTGTTCTTCTTTTCTTTCTGCTAATCTTTTTTGTGCATCTTTAAAACTTTTCTCACAATTAAAAATTAGTATACACTATAAGTTTCCTTTAGAAAACTCTTATATATTTTTTTATATATGAGTTTCTTCTTAGTGCCTATTTTAGTAACTTTGCTCGATGATCTGTATTATCTCTGAGTACATTTGCTGCTGAAACTTTTGTTTTTAATTCCTTTATATTTTCACATCTTTCTTCTCTTGATCCCAAATACTATTATCTAATAATTTTGTTAAATCTAATATGTCTCCTTAAGTTGTTTTAATTCCTTCCATACTCTTTGCTATGTTTTTAGTTGTTGTTATTGCTTTTGTTTTATATTGGGTTTCAACTGAGGTTATTTCTACTTCTATAAGCTCTAATCTAGGTGATTTCTTTATATTTGATGTTTCTATACTCATTTTATTCACTTCTATTTCTTGTTCATCAGAATTATTGCTTATCTCATCACTTTTTTGTTTATTATATTCTTCATTAAATACTTCTTTGGCATTATCTGCCTCACAATTTGCTCATCTTAGCTTAATATTATTATAATATATTGTAAACTTTGAACTTCTTGTTAAGTCCTCTTCAGATTCAAAGTATACTGTTGCACTTTTCATCTTGTTATCATTTGTGTTTTTAAAAATATGTAATGCTTTTATACCTAATCTTCTAACTTGTCTTCAAAGAAGGATTTCATTTGTATTTTCTGGTAAATTAAGAAGTCTTGTGTTGAATCTGTTTCTTGTATATAGTATATCATGCTTGTTAACTTCTGCTGTTAGTCTTATAAGTAAGTAGTTACTAAAAGACAAACACTATATCTCTTCTAGAAGTCTTTTGTTATATGTATTTTTTTTGAATTCTACTATAGCTCTAGTTCTG